TATATATACAGTATATATCTTTTTTTTTCCAAAATATGACCCAGACCTTTTCAGTACATGGTAATAAATCAGATACAAATCAGATGTATTACAAAGTGACCTCAGTTTGAGTGTCTCATTTCATCTGACTTCTACATCAGTGATGGTGTCAGCAGATTGATTTAGGATGTTAACACCACTCTCATACAGTTCAAATCTTGGCACTCCACACATCTTCAGCTACAGAACAGAAGTGTCATTGCTTCATCTTTTTTCTTTTAATTTGACATGTTCTGGATCACTAAGAATACACAGCAACATAAAATATGAAAGCTAATGTTGGGTTGTATCAATACTCAAGTTTTGAGATTGATTCTTATGTTCTTCCCATTCTAAAACACAATGCTGTTCTGCAGTAGCTGAAAGAGAGAGGGTCAAATGAAAACACTGGACAAAACAAGCATTGTTGAAAAATAAATAAATCATCAGCTCTGATTGCACAACAACTTTAAAACCAATACACGCATGCTAACGTGTAACATCCATGTTTACTTCTGTACTTCTGTATTTTTCTATGCACGTGGGTCGCATCAATGCCATGGAGAGTTTATACAGKTTGCTGGTTGTTTTTAAATTAGAATGTGAACGACCACTCAAAAAAAAATCTGATTTGAGCAAAAACTCTGCATTTAGCATTAAGACCTACGGTGTGAACGAAGCCAAATCTTCATGAAGGAGACTAATTTTAGTAGATTATCAAGCAGCTGATAATGTCTGGTTAGACTTATATTAGAGGGTGCGGTTTAGATGAACCTTGGAGAAAAACTCAAACCACACACTTTTAGTGGTGCTCTGTTGTGAATTTATTTTATATTGCAACATGTTTTGTCAGTTATTTACCATTTTCTCCACCAGGACATGTCTGTGCTCTGGTGGAGAAAACAGTTACTACAGTTTCACTTACCACGATAAAATGAATGTAATCAAACTATTTTAAAGAGATGATTAGACCAAAGGCAAAGCAAAAGCAAACTACTTAAGTGTTTTGCAGAGAACCACTTTACAACCTTTATAGCTATTTGTTGATAGGGAAAGCAACGCAATAAATGTGGCGACTGTCTCCCTTGTGTTGTTTTTAGAAAAAACATGATGAATTGACTAATTTTAGCAGTTTTTTTGTTTTGTTTTTGTTGTTAAATCATTTTTTCAAACAATATACAAAGTTTCTKTATGTCATCATTGATTTTTCTCTCAGTAATAACGTAATATTTTTAATGTTTAATCCTTCATCTGGCTGGTCACACTGACCCAATATCATTTCATCTTATTGAGTCTCGGCGCCAGCTTATCTTTTCACGCGTCGGCTGTTTCGGCTCTTTTACAACTTYACTCCTCGGCACAGAGGCGCACCAGGTGTTGACTGACTTTGACTCCCCTCGCTGCCTCTGTTCATTAAGAAGTTCCACCAGGATGGCCAGACGTCTGGATGGAGGTGTCTTGTGGAAAAGCCTTAAAAGTCCTAACAGCCCTCAGAGTCCTACAACCCTAATTCCAATGAAGTTGGAACATTGTGTAAAACAAACATAAACAGAATACAATGATTTACAAATCTTTTTCAACCTACTGTATATTGAAGACACTACAAAGACGAGATATTTAATGTACAAACAGCTTTTTTGTTATTTTGTTTTTGCAGTCACTCATTTTGAATTAAATGCATGCAACATTAGACATGCATATTTACCACATTTTCACCTTCAGGTAAAAATGAAGACCCCAAACCCAGACCCAAACCAGTGGTTATTCCGTATGTTGC